ACCCGTGTCGAGAAGATGTCTAGTGATAGCGCTGTTATAAGAGTTTTTTCCCTTGAGACGTAGGCTTTTTGGCACATGTTCAGAAAATCGGAGGTGTGCCCTTCTTTCTGTTCTCCCAATGTAACTGCTCCCGCAGATACACGTAAATTTGTATACACAGTTGGAGTTAACATGAGAAGGGTATCTATCGACTTTTGACTGCACCAAAGAGCATGTTGTTCGATGGACGGGAACCAACTTAGCTGCAGGGTAGGCTCTGGCTAGTAATGTTCTCAGTCTTCTGTTGACCATTTCTGCAATGTTTTCACCTTTATAATCAAGCTGAAAGTAGATTGGCTTTTTTTCCACTGTGATTTGTTTTACATTTTTGACTTCAGACCTTCCATACTTGTTGGTGAACCTTTGAGGGTATCCATTTCTCTTCAATGTCTTTTCAAGAAACTCAAATTCTTCCTCTAATTTCTCTATAGAGCATATTCTTCTCGCTCTATAGTACAGAGTCTTGACTAGACTGCGTTTAAAGCTATTTGGACAGAAGCTATTGAAATGTAAGTATTGTCCTTTCCATGTAGGCATTCGATAAATTGACTTTTGAAGACTACCGTCTTCTAGGCGTTCCATGGCAATGTCGAGGAAGTGAAACTTTCCGTCACTTTCATGTTCCATAGTAAACTCAGTATTTTTGTGTGCATCATTGAATAATCCGAGTAAGTGTGAAGCATGACTTTCATTGTTGCACACTATAAATGTGTCATCAACATATCGACAGTAGGAATTTGTTTCGTCGATTGCATGCTTCAATCCTTTAAAATTATCAATAGACAAAGGAGCTCCATTCTCCTCAAGTTGGCCGAAGCAATTTCTATCAAACGCTTCAAACCAGATTTATGTGTTCAGAAAGAAGCAGTTATTAGTCTTTCCTTGCCATGGTAACTGGATGTCTTTATTCTCTAATCTGATTACGTAATCTTTGTCTTTAACCTCACCCCTCCTTTTTTATTTTTAAAATCTGTAATATTGCTTGTCTCTTGTTTCTATGACGTGATTTGAACTCAGTACATCGTTACAAAATTAATTAGTTACTCATCATCTTACTCACCTCTCGTCTTTATTACATAACTCTTTTACCATTGTATGCATACATCTATTTTGTTTAAACATGAACTGCCTGTGTAAAAACTATATAAGCGCAATTTTCTGAGCACTGTTCACTTACTGTGGAACTTTTTGTCAACTGGCAACATGTAAAAATTTGCAAGTATGTTAAAACTTTTCTGTACGCAAACCTCATAATTTATTTAGGCTATAAGCAGCTGATGAGAAGCCGACGAAATAAATGATGGTACCATATTATTCTGCACAAACCGCTGTTGTTCTTGCTTTATTTAAATTCATCAAGGGGAATAAATTCATGAAATTAGAAGAAGAATTTCTGATTCTCGAAAAGATGTTAGAAAAGAACGCTAACCCTCAGAAATTCAAACAAATTCATTGGGAAAAACGCCTACCTTCATTTAGCTCGATTATAATCTGATAGTATTTCGGGAAAAGTCTACAGAAGTTTGAACCAGCTAAGCTGGTTCCCGTCTATCGAACAACTTGCTCTTTGGTACAATCAAAAGTCGACCGATACCTTTTTCATGCTAACTCTAATTGTATATGCGAATTCATATGTATCTACAGCAGCGGTTACATCTGAAGAACAGAAAGAAGGGAACACCTCTGATTTTCTGAATAAGTACCAAAAACGTACGTCTTAAGGGGACAAGTGCTTAGAGTAGTGCCATTACCAGGCATCTCCTTGGCATGGGTCATTAATTGGAAATCGTGAAGTCATCAGTAGACAAAATAGTTCAGTTCTCCTCAAATTTACCGACGCAGTTGTTGTCAAATGCCTGAGACCTGATTTATGAGTCCAGGAAGAAGCAGCTGTCAGTTTTTCCTTTCCCTGTCAACCGGATGTTTTTATTCTCTCCCTCATTTGATTACTTTATCCCTCGCTGTAAATTTACCCCCTCTTCTTTGATATAGTGTGACTTTGCGCGTCTCTTGTTTCTTTGATTTGAGTTGAACTCAGTATATTGTTACTCAGTTTATTAATTACTCATCTTAATCACCGCCTGTCTTCATCGCGTAACTCCTTTACCATTGTGTGCATACAATAATTTCTGTTTAAACTTGAACTTCACGGATAAGATCTATATAACTGTAATTTTCTGAGTACTGTTTATTAAGTTTGGAGCCTCTTGTCAATTGACATTATGTTATCACATTTGCAGGTATGTTAAAGCAGTTCTGTACATAAACTTAATAATGATTTCTGTAGGCTAAACGCAGCTGATGAGCAGCCAACGAAATCAACGATGGTACTATCATTTCTGACAAACTTTATTCTTGACTTATTCAAATTCATAAAAGGGAATAAATGTATGCAGTATGCGAGAAGAATTAAGTTGATTCAATAAAGAAAGAATGACCAAATTTGCAGTATAAAATGATATTTTATAATATTATTCTATTTCACAAGTTCTCAACCATCAAGTGACATCACACACCAGGCCATCTCTCGAATGAAACTAGAATGGGAAGCGGCGATTTGGTCGACAGTGTAAGGGTGACATGGAGAAGGTCATGTGAAGAGGAGATGAAAGCATGTGGGAAGACGTGGAGCCAGGTGAAAACGTTGGCAGAGAACCGAAGGTAATGGAAACGTGTAGCTGAAGCCCTATGTTCCTCTAGGAACTAAAGGAGACAGTAGTACTAATAATACATCATCCACATACTACCTGAAATTACAGCGGTTATAAATAATGACAAGAACATCCATCTATCCAATATTTGAATGACAGTAATATAGAAAACATTATAAAATTAACGCATTCGAAATATAAGCATCACATTTGGCTTTAGTTTAAATTACCATGAATTTATATGCTTTCAAAATAGAAAAGGAGTGGAGTTTAGGGGAGGAGAGGAGAGGAGAAGAGAAGACAGGAAACAGAAAAATCTAATAAACAAACAATGTTAGCTAGTAGGTTCACATAGCAACTCAAGGAGGTTATAGTTCATGAAATTGGAAACTTGCTCCGTGAGCTGAAATCACTAATATGAATGACTAATCAATGTAATGTAATCAAGATGCAGTTACGTAGGCAGTGAGTGAGAGATTGATTACACTGTCTCTCCGTGTGTGCATAGGTTTGGTTTGAAATGCTTGATTGGAATTGCTTCAGCAAATCGTAGTGCATTCGCTATCGTTTGTATGTTTAGTATTTTGAAGAATTTGGAAATCTCGATGGAATGACCGGTATCCATCTTCAAGGTGTCTGGTGATTGCACTTTGCGAATATCTGCTTCCTTTTAAGCACAAGTTCCTTGGGATATGCTCTGAAAACCGTATGAAAGCCATTCTTTCTGTCCTTCCAATGTACTTGCTCTTGCAAGTGCACGTAAATTTATCAACGCAGTTGGAGGTGACATCAGTGGGGTACTTATCCAGTTTCGATTGACTTTCAGATCATATAGTGCTGTATATTGTCACCAGCTTAGCTGCAAGGAAGCATCTTTTTATTGCTCCTTTCATTGTTTTGTCAGTCTTTTGTGACACTGTTTCTTCTTTGAATGGGAGGTGTCAATGGACGTGAACATTGAACGTTTGTTTATTGGAACTGGCAGTCATTGGTGGGCAACTCGAAGGCGCGAATGGTTCGATCGTGTGCAAGTTGAACAAAGGCGGAACGAATATGAATAAAAGTACTTTATAACTTCATTTGTACTTAACATTTGTTTGTAGACTTTGTAGTTTTCTTCACTTTAATTGCCAAACAATATAATTTCGTTCAAGGAATACTGGTGTTTTGGATTTAAAGTTGAAAGGAATACATAGTATTTATCGGTTCAAATCGCCTACGTCTTCATTACAATAGGAACTTAGGGCTAAGTTCCTTGACAGGAGGCAAATAAACACCTTTCTCTGTTCAGCAGTTAAATGTTTTTTGTTCTCGTCCTTTTCTTTGCTGTACTTTTGGATAAATCTCTGTGGATACCCATAACGAAATAAACCGTTGATTTTATAATATTTTGTCGACTCCCTTTGAAACATTACAGTATGTAGTTGTCAGTCTCTTTTATAACCATTCTAATTACACGTGACGGTCTGCAGCTGATGAGAACCCGTGAAGTAGAATGATGACATCATTATATTTCTGCAAATTTAACCTGTTTCGCTTTGCTGAAGTATATCAAAGGAACCAGATGTATGTATGAAATAAATCGATTCAGTCTAGTAAAGAAATTAAGAATTCCAACGTATACAATTAGCATCTAACTGCTCATAGGCATGAATGAGTATGTATCACATTCCCTATGCTTTTTAATTATTCCCCCCGATCAATAACGATTAATACAATTACGAAAATATTTCGTTATCATTTCTAAACAAAATCTCATGAACAACAACAACAACAACAACCCACTTTTTTTATTCCCCATCGCCAATCAAATTAAATTAAGCCAACGTTTAGGTGGTAGGGATGATGGTTGGCTGTGATATCCGTTGTAGACAGACTGAATGAATGAATAGAACTCATGTGAGTGAGTAGAGTTTGTTACTTTTGTTGTAGGGAGAGAGAAAAATTTCTCACTCTACTTTTCACCCCTCAATCAACCAATATATTAGAGATGCGTATTAACCCCAGAGGAAGAGAATAGATGATAATTTTGGGATGAACACTACAAGAGTAGTGAAAATTTTTATGGTGGGCGGCAGTATTGAGTAAAATACATACTTTTTCCAATATGAAATATGCTCTTATTTGTTTGTTTGTGTGTTGATGAGCTTGAGTAAAAGAAAATTAGGCAAATAAATGATGAAACAATCAGATTTCCCTCCCTCCCTCCCTGCTAATTTTTACTCACCTACAAAAGCTGGAATGAGACAAACATAATCTTATTATAATAAAATAATTATTACTCATAGTTTAAAATTAAAATAGAAAAACCTGAGATATTGGAAATCGTAATAACCTGGTTAGTAAGTAACATGGTTACGCCGAATATTTATCCTATGAAGCCTTATCCTTCTACAACAACACTCTGTTCTCAAATTAATCATCAGTCGACAGGAATTGGACATAATGAATTTAATTATGGTTATCAAGATTCTAATCACATTACTACTGCTAATAACAGCAACAACGTTAACATTAACAATAATAATTATGAACATGGGAACAATAATACCTTTACACAATTTGACTTTCTATTACACAATCCCCTGAATGGTAGTCTTATTAGTCAATCACAACAGCTCAATTCGACAAATGGCCCGTCTATGGCGTTATTTCCTGAGAATGACAATGGCAACAGGCCTCCTCCTACTACTGCTGCGGCTGTAAGCCCTAATTTCTCAAAACTGATAACGCCATCATCAGTTGGATGTCTTTATTCATCAAATAGCAAATTGTCATTTGAAAATCATCAAGAAACTGATGAATTTAAACAAACTTTCCCATTGTCAAACAACAATAATAATATTGAAACATTGAATGCACAACAGACTAGTCAAAATCATGCCTATTTAGAGAATAATCTGCTGTTGACAGGTGTATCGGATTATTCAACTACTTCTGATTGCATTGATAGGCATAGTGGTCATTTGAAATCAAAAGAAATCAAAGAAACGAAGTCAGCTTATACAACGTCGAATGGCACAAATCATGATACCCCGTTAATTCCCCTAATTAATCCAGTTGTTTGGAATTCAACAAACTGGAAACATTTGGCCGCAATAGCACAGAATTCATGTCAACAGACACTTCACACGCCTTTAGCATATAATCAAATGTTAATTACGTCTAACAATCATAATGATAAAAGTATGAATATGAAAGCTGATTCTGTGGAAGAGATGATACAGTCAAAAACTTTATTCTCGCATCAAATATCGACACAGAACACCAATCTACCTGTTTTACCTTCAGTCAACTATCCAGTGGCAACCAACAGTCAGTTGTCTAGTTATTTTACAAAGAATTCTAAACCTTCACCAGATTTCAATAAGATCGCCTTGCTACCATCATTGTTGGGAGATCATCCATACCCATCGGCTTCGCTAACATCACTTGACAATTCTGAATCAATATTCAAACGTAATTTTAACTATTATGAGAATAATATCCTTCAATATACTACTGCCAGCATCACAACTAACATAACTGATTCGGAGGCAGTCCAATCAAGCAACAATTGTACATTGGATGCTTCATTTCGAAATTTTCACCAGGATTGTGAAAAACAATTGCCCAATGATTATAATTCTGAAGATATTAACAACAGTCATCAAGGCCGAATAAAACTGTCAGAAAATAATCATAGTCAGAGGTGTATTGAAGACAACTCAGTCAACCCAATGTTAAATGACCAGTGTTCAATGGATGTTTCGAATTTTATCCAAGCACCAAATAATCCGAGAGAAATTGATAAAGTTTCAGGTAATTTCTGTTCACAACTGTATGTGTTTCTGTGAATATTTTCAGATTATAATTTATTTTTATTATTTAAGCATAAACTGTAGGGTCCATTATGTTTGTCGAATTCCTTCCAGTTGCCTTTAGATTGATTATACTGCACGAAAATATCCGGTTCCTGTGACGCTTCAAAAATGTCTTAAGATTAACATGATGTTGCTTGATAGGCGGTGACTAACAGACGGGGTCCGAGACGAGTGTTCCATCCTACTCATGACTCGTCATGCAAATGTTCCCCCAACGACAGTGAATCAGGTTGAACCAAATATCCATCGTTCTAATCCCCAAAGTACTTTCAACACCGTCACTCAGTGGGAATGCAACTATCTCCAGCTGACGAGTCAAAAATGAGACGAAGCAGGAGTTATAGATTGCACAGTCAACCAAGTGACGTCAGGATTAGTTGTGTGTCTAACTTCGTAATTTAAAGTTATCTATTGACACTACTTCTAAAGGTACTTGCCATCTATAATCCCTCTAACTAAGATGCCCAACTTTTATTATTCTAGCACTTCTAACTTTGTAGATACAATATAGTAGCAGTCACCAAAAATGTACACATGTCTAACTGGACAAGTATAGTCAAGTCCCTGTTTCTTTGCATATTACTAAAACTCTCTTCTTTTGTGAATGATTAAACATTCTCCTCATATGCTCAAGCCGACTGAGAAGAATCGGTATTGTGATTTAATTCACTGTGTAATTTGAGTTGTGAATCGTTTTACAACAGTGACGTTTAAGGCACTGACTTGTATTGAACAATCAATGGCTTTGAGAGTTCAGAATCAGATTGTAGTCATTCCATTTTCATTTTCATAGAGAAACTCTCTCATTATTGAATAAAAAATAACCGCGAAAATATTTTCTAATTTTTAAATCAGTGATAGAATTTGTGATTTTTTAGTGATTCAAGATAATACCTTTATGGGTTATAGGAAAATGCAAACGTCTTGGCGCTAAAAACTACTTATTCTATGGCCTTTCCTTATAAATTAATGTTACTTATGAAATAAACAATTATCATAGCATATATAGCATATATTAGCATCCGTACACACAGAAACGACTGTTTTATCGGCTACATTCATCACAGTAAGGAGTTAATACAGTCCCAGCAAAGTTTATAAATATATATACAAAATATAAATAACACAAGAGGAAGATTACAATGTTAAAATTCCCAAGGAAATTATAAATGAAGCGTAGACAGATAAAACAGTATAGAAGTGTGAAAACACCGGTGCATTAATTCTCAAATAGTTTAGAGGAAATGTAGAAGAAATGAAATATAAAATACTTCCAACTCATCTTTTGATTTATCTCACGTCACTCATAAGAAGAAATTCGTTTAAGTTGGAGAGTAAAATCAAACGCTTCGAATGCCACTGGTTCGAATTCTCCCACAACTCAGATTTTCATGCGTACTGCCGATGATTCCCAAACTAGGATGAAACAGCTGTCCAGTACTCCCTGGTTTTCAGTGCTTCTATAACTGATATCAATCCGTGGTCAAACGCGTAAAAACAAATTTAATCCTTACAAACCAACTATAGAAAATTAATCTGATGTTCGCTAGTGACTTGCTACAGGATGGAGATTCCTGGAATTCTAGTGAGAAGTCGTGACCAGTGAGATCCATCCAGATGTCACGTGTGAGGATGGATGTCCCACTGATGACATTGTTTGGGGTTGCGCTAAAATCACGAAATGATAGAAGTTAAAATTCATGGTCTGGCGATTGAATCAGGTCCCAGTGGCTGAATGGTTTACGAGCTCGCCTAGTAACCGGAAGGTCCTGGGTCCGAACCCCAGTGAGTGAGTACTGTGGATGATTCCCGGAACCAGGATGAAACAGCTGGCCATTACTGCTTGCTAGATTTCAATGGTTCTTGAACTGATATCAATCGGTGATCAACGCGTAAAACAAAATTAATCCTTACAAACCAACTATAGGAAATTATATTTTCAGTCATTGCCTACTATATATAGGTTAACTATTGGACCTATATTTAACACTGAGTGTATATAACAACAGAAAATAGACTAAGGGGATTTGGTGAAAAGTCCCGAATTTTATACTCAACCAAATGATATAAGTAACTGGAAGATACGCTCGCTAGTCACGTCGGAGTGATACTAGGAATGTGCAGTCAGTTTTTTAGGAGTAAAATGAAGTTTGAGTAATTCAGATTAGAGAGTGAAACCACATGAGAACAAGTCAAGTTTCACATTACCTACTCCATTGGGGATTTTGATTCGACTTTTATTGGACAAAGATTATAGCACTTAATCTACGTGTCGTGTTTGCGGGAGAAATAACGAATGATCCAGTGTAGAAATCTTAAATAACCAACATCAACTAGAAAATCTTCGTAAACCAATGAACAATAAACAACCATTTAGATTGAATTCGGAGCTCATTTATCATTCTGCATCCACAATCATGAGATTAGTCGAAATGTTACAAACTGAACAATTCACAAACAAATGTTTACCTCTCGTTGAAGCCCTTTACTTACCAGAATCGGCGTCACAACAAAAGTTCAGATGCATACGAGGTTGAGAAAACATAATTTGAAGGCCTCAACCTTTAACAACTGAAATGAAGCAGAATTTTAAAGGTTTAGTAGTTGAACAAGTTGTGGAATGACCAACGGACTGGTCTTGTCTTATGCCTGGTGGTGCCGTGGGTACTAATTGCTGAAAGGTCCCAAAACCAGGACGAAATAGCTGTCCACCGATTCCTGGTTGGTGCATCGGTGGTTCAATAGCAGAATGTTCACCAGCCATGTGGGGCTATACCCTCTGTCTGAGGCACATTCTCAAAGTAAGCTAGTAAGACAGAAGATTGAGTGTGAGAACAGCAATCCCAGCCTGTGGAAATAAACTCTGAATCATGAATCCCTCAGAAGTAAAGGATTGGAAGCAAAACATCGAGTCTCATTTTTTTAATATATTTAGGGAGTGGATTATAACGGAGTAATTAATCAAGTTACTTTTCCGGACTAAATTCACCACCCTTATTTTTAACTTGAATCAGCTACATGCACAACTTCATAACTACCTAGTTTCTGTATCATTTTCAAAAAGCAACACAAATGAAAGCAGAAGTTAATTTCTGGTATTCATCAAAAGAGAAAGTCGTAACAGAGAAAAGAATTTTCATCTCAATGAATCCTTACAGTAGCTATACAATCATATATTTATATTAAACAGAGTATTCATAAAAACAACCAAATACTGGCTGTTACACAATCATATTTGTCATTTGCGGATTACTTGGTCCAAAATGAGAATTACGGAGCAAAAATATTTAGATAACAATATTTCGTCTGATTGATACCATAGAAGGGAGACTGAAAAAGTAGGCATAATAACGTGACGGTGCATTCTACTATTAAATAAGTAATTGTGAACCACCCAAATCAGGTAGTAGTGCTTACCAGATAGAAGTTAAAGGAATCTGTGTCGATTTCACCCCCCTTCCCTGGACTATAGAGTTCGCAAATTACTAATTACCAGTTAGCCTAAATAACTAGCAAGAATTCGAGTAATTTGAACTGATTCGGCTGTCTCGTCTGAATTAAACTGGATACCCTGTTGATGATCTCGGCCCCGGAAGAGGGAAAACAGCAAGAAGTTCAGCAAAGATATCTTATAGTTGATATATATATATATACTTTCATGGTATTTTAATGGTTATCATGTTCTGGAGAGTGTCATAAGTAATGTGAGGAATGGTCCAAAAGCGAATGTGCGAGGGAATATTAAGAAACCGAACTTGATACCGATTAATATGCACACAAATGACTTAAACAGTCTGAATGTACAAAATTGACTGGGGACAGTGGGGAGAGAGGCAAAGTGTTCAAATGAAATCGAAATGAGGAATGAAGAGTTATCAGTTAAAATCAATATTATACTATTATTACTACTGTTTCCTTTAATTCCTAGAGCAACATAGGGCTTCAGTCACACGTCTCCATTGCCTTCGGTTCTCTGCCAACGTTTCCACTTCACTGCACGTCTCCCCACATGCTTTCATCCCATCTTCACATCACCTCCTCCATGTCACCAATGTCGCTATCGGAAAACCAACCCACCGCTTACCATTCAGGTTATACTTGAAGGATGGCCTGGTGTGTGATGTCACTCGCTTGATGGTTTGTTTTCTCAGAGTACGACCAATCCACCTCCATTTCTTCCTGCATATTTCTGGCACTATCGGTCTCTGGTTGGTTCGCACCTAGAGATCCCTGTTGCTGTTCTATTATGGGTAAATTTTATTTTGATAAAGTCTCACAGTGTTATACAGTAATATTTACTGATGACGTATTGAGCACAATTTATTGCTCATAATCATATCAAGGTAATCACACGACTTCCAGGAAGTCGTGCACAAGTTTTATTCTTATATCAATCCCTGTTGCTGATCTTTTCTGGATGGCCATCTCATCTTGAGTATTGAGCGAAGGCAGCTGTTGATGAAGGTACGTAGTTTGTTCGAAGTGTCTTCCGTGACACGCAGTGCAAGTCTCTGATTCGTTTAGTAGGTAGCACTTACTTCACATTGGAGTTAAAAATTCGCATCTTATTTTCATTTTCATGCTGAGTGCTGTTGATCTCCACACAGACTTGAGAGAAATGAAAGCTTGCCTTGCTTTTCCGATCCTCGCTTTCATATTCTCATCAGTACTGACTGCCTGTAGTTGAAACGATGCTTCCCAGGTAGGTAGGTAGGTAGATAGGTAGGTGAAGGAGGTTGCTTCTTTCACATTTCTCCCATTTATGCTAGCTGATTGTTGTCCATTGTTGCTGTTGCCCTTGTCTAAGAGTCTTCATCACCTACGTCTGTTTTCTCTATGTTCACCTGAATTCCTATCTTCTCTGGATGCTTCTTCTGCCAACTTGTTGTTGATATCAACAATGACACTAATAATAATAATGATGACCATTGTTATTAC